CTCCGCGGGGGGCCCTGGCTGGCTGCGCGCGGGCCGGGGTCTCACGGCTTTTGTTTGCAGGCCTGGCTGGCAGAGGTGGAAGGCAGGCTCCCCGCGCGCGGCGACCAGGCGCGACGACAGAGCGGCATGTACGACGGCCAGACGGCGCCGACGGTCAACAACTGCGCGCAGGACCGGGAGAGGTACAGTATCTGAACGGCCCTGCCCTCCGGCGAGCCGGGACCCGTGCTCTGTGTTGGCGTCCCGATTCTGGAACCAGGAAGCCAGCGTCAGGCTCTGGTTAGACACCAGCGGGTCTGCGATGACCGACCTGTGGTCTTCCCACGGCGGGGGAGCGCGCGGCTTGACTTTCCATGACCTTGGCGCCCGCGCTGGCGGGGGGCGCGGGGTCCGCAAGCACTCGGCGCTTCGGGGGATGACTCGGCGCCCTCACTGGGGTCCGTGGCTATAGTGGCTGTGCGTTTTGCTTTCTTGAGCAGCCCAGATGGCAGTTACACGGAGGAGCAGAGCCAGGAGAGTGAGGTGAAGGTGCTGACCACGGACTTCGACGACGAGTTTGACGACGAGGAGCCCCTCCCCGCCATCGGGACTTGCAAAGCCCTCTACACGTTCGACGGTAACACCTCGTCGGCCGGGTCCCCCCACTCTGCATAAACGGCAGAGTCACTCCGCTTTCGGGGGTGGGGGTGGGGTCTGCCTTTTGAAGCCTTCCAGATCTTTCTCATCACTCCTTTGTTCTGCTCGTAGTGTTTGTCAGTATTTATTACTATTACTATTGCTATTATTACTATCACTATTATTGTTGTTGTCTTGATGGCTATATATTTTGCCTTTTGGTCCGTATAATCTAACAACTTTCAAAAAGCTTAATTGCAGCGGGTAGGATAAAATCATGATTATTCCATCCATTCGTTCAATCTCGGTAGAGCTCCTGCCTTGGAAAGACCCCGGAATCAGGGGTGTGATGCAGGTGGCATAGTGTGTGGCGTCTGGCCTTGGAGAAACAAAGCAGACATGCGGATAGGAGAGGGCAGCTCGCAGGACTTACCGGAGCGGGGGTACCTAGCGACGGGGGTGGGGGGCTGGCGGTTCACGGGAGGGCGAGATCATGTCCTTGAGGGCATTTAGAGAGCTCTCCAAGCCACGGTGTATCAGAGGCGTGGGCACCACCCAGCCCGCTGCAGGTGAGGACATCACGGGGTTCCCGTGGCTGGAGCTCGGGTGTCTTGGGACTAGTGGAACATAAGACTAATAATGAGGCGGTGCCCGTGGCCGGGGCGACAAACGCTGAGGAGCTATTGAAAGTATCTGCGCAGAGTCTGGCCAGAGTCAGAGCTGTCCCTGAGGACATGTGCTGTCATGAGTGCAGGGGTGTAGGGGCGATGAGAAACTGGGGGTAATGGTTAGAAGGACAGTGAGTTCGGGTAAGTTGGGGGAGCCCTGGGGTAAATGAATTCCACAGATTTCTTTACTGCGGGACTTTGCAGAGCCTTTAATACACTAAATGTTCATTATGACAAGAGAAGAAAGAGAAATGCCAGGTTCAAAGTTCCAATTTTACTCCATGTCCAAACCATCTCCTCCACCACCCCCCATGTCCCCACAGTACCCCTCTTAACAGTCCCTAAACAGTTTGCCTTTCAGAATACTGTTCGAATAGTGGCGGCTCATCTTTTGAAATTATCTTAGCGAACGGTCATGGGGGCCTCGATTAAGGAATGATCACAGAGATGCTGCAGCTCAGACTCGTGGCTGATTGGAAGCGGGAATAAAGAGGGGAGGAAATCAAAGATGATTCCCTAAGTTGTGCTCTGGGACGGTGGAGATGTCCGCTGAAATGGGGAAGTAGGCAGGGGATCTCGTAGGGGGAAAGCCAGGAGCCCAGGCACGCCCCCCTCCCCGTGCTGTGTGTCAGGTGTCAGAGCAGCATCAAGGTGGAGATATGCTCCGGGCGGAAGAGAAGTGGGGATGGTGTGGAAGGAGGTGCGATCGAAGCCACCTGAGGGCTTTCACCGAGAGAGAGAGAGAGAGAGAGAGATATGGGGGGAGAGAGGTGGGGGGAATGTCAAGAGAGGGGGAGGAGTAGAGAAGAAAACT